TTGCAATTCAGGATCGTGTATATTTGCAACAGACATATACCTTGACTGACATAGTTAGCCTAGCCGAAAAGGTGGGGCGACAACTTGGATGGAATAATAGAGGATCGTGGGAAGCTTCCGACGGGTCGCGCATGAGCTTTAATCGTGGTGGGAATAAATAGTCTCAAACTGTTTCTGATCAAGATGCTATAACTAAGAAGGGTACATGTCTAGCAACCACAACAGCAAAGAAGGCTACATCACCGAACCTATATGCCAAACCCGATCCAATCAAGTGCTATAGATGCGGACAACTTGGTCATCAATCCAATCAGTGCCCTAAAAGAAGTGTTGTGAATATGGTGGATCATGAAGAGGAGGATATAGACCAAGACGATGCTGAAGATTATGGAGGTGATGGGGTGGATCCTAATGATGGGGATCAACTCTCGTGTGTTGTGCGATGACTATTATTGGCTCCAAAGGCAGAAGAACCACCACAGAGGCATAATATCTTTCGCACGAGATGCACTGTGAAACAAAAGACCTGTGATGTTATCATTGATAGTGGTAGCAGCAAGAATATTGTCTCTCGATGCATGGTAGAGAAATTAAGTTTGAAGACAGAAACATCCCGCTCCCTACAAGATCGGTTGGATTCATAAGGGTAATGACATGCAGGTTGATGAGGTGTGTCGGGTATCTTTTTCCATTGGCCGAAATTATGTTGATGAGGCATTGTGTGATGTAGTTAATATAGATGGATGCTTGACATATGCTGTTAGGTAGGCCATGATAGTTTGATGTTGATGACACACACAGAGGGAAGGATAACGTTTATATTTTTAAGAAGGATGGGCGCCGAGTTGTGCTCAAGCCTCTAACAGAGAAGGGGTCAGTCAAAACAAATGTTGCTAAAAAGAATACTTTTTTAGTTGTTGACAATGAAGATTTTATAAAAGATGTGAAGCAGTCTGACAAGGTTTATGCTCTTGTGGTATTAGGAAACGAGGATTCTGCCTCCACCAAAGTTTCACCTGAAGTACAGACCCTCTTGCAACAATTTGATGCAGTTATGCCTGATGAAATTCCTTTCGAGTTACCATTGCTTCGAGATATTCAACATCAGATCGACTTCATCCCTGGATCCCGGCTACCGAATCTACCACAGTATCGGATGAGCCTAAAGGAAGGAGAGATTTTGCAGAAACAGGTAGATGAGCTCATCCAAAAAGGCCTTATACGAGCTAGCATGGGTCCGTGTACCGTGCCAGTGTTACTAGTCCTAAAGAAGAATGGAGAGTGGCGCATGTGTGTGGATAGTAGGCTATTAATAAGATTAATGTGAACTATTGATTTCCTATCCCTCGCCTAGAAGACATGCTAGATATGTTGTCTGGATCAAAAGTATTCTCCAAAATAGATCTCAGGAGTAGTTATCATCAGATTCGGATTAGAGAAGGAGATGAGTGGAAGACTGCCTTCAAGACAAAAAAAGGCATGTATGAATGGTTGATCATGCCTTTTGGCCTTTCTAATGTTCCTAGCACATTCATACGGTTGATGAATCACGTATTAAAACCATTTATCAGCAAGTTCATTATAGTTTACTTCGATGATATCCTAATTTATAGTCAGACAGAGGCCACGTATCTAGACCACTGGAGGGAGGTACTAACAGCTTTGAAAGAAAACAAGTTGTACATTAATCTAAAAAAGTATAACTTCATGACCAGTAGCATTGTATTCCTAGGCTTTATCGTTAGTGCAGAGGGCATCCATGTTGATGAAGAGAAGGTGCGTGCTATTCGAGATTGGCCTACATCAAAGACTGTCAGCGAAGTTCGTATTTTTCATGTCCTAGAAACTTTCTACAGTAAATTTGTCAGAAATTTCAGTAGCATTATAGCGCCTATCACTGAATGCATGAAGAAAGACAAGTTTAATTGGGGGGAAGATGCGGACCGTAGCTTTGCACTGATCAATGAGAAGTTATCTATAGCACCAGTGCTTGCTCTTCTAGATTTTTAAAAGGCGTTTGAAGTTGATTGTGATATGTCTATCATAGGAATTGGTGATGTTCTATCCCAAGAATGGTGTCCAGTTGCTTTCTATAGTGAGAAGCTCAGCAAAGCTCGACAGAAGTGGACCACATATGAACTAGAGTTATATGCCATAGTTTAGTCTTTGAAACATTGGGAGCACTATTTGATCTCGCGAGAGTTTCTACTTAATACTGACCATCAGGCTTTAAAGTTCATCAATAGTCAGACTACCATTAATCGTTTGCATGCTCGTTGGATCGGGTTTCTGCAACGTTTCACCTTTGTTTTGAATCACAAGTCTGGGCAGCAGAATAAGGTTGCAGATGTACTTAGTCAGAGAGCTGGTTTGTTTGTGACATTGTAGGCAAAAGTAACTGGTTTGAATACCTTAAGGACCTATATGCAGAAGACGAAGACCTTAAGAGGATTTGGAACGACTGCTAACAAAATCAAGTTGTTAGAGGTTTTCATATCCAGGATGGTTATTTATTTCATGGAAATCGGTTGTGCATACCTCAGACTTCACTAAGAGAGCAGATAATATGAGACCTTCATGTTGGTGGGTTAGGAGAGCATTTGGGACGTGATAAGACGATTGCTTCCATTGAAGAGTGATATTACTGGCCTCAGCTGAAGAAGGGAACAAAAAAATATGTGCGGCGTTATCCAGTTTGTTAAGTTGCTAAGGGACATTCCCAAAATACGGGATTATTTACACCCTTACCTGTTCCTGATGCACCATGGCATGATATCTCGATGGATTTTGTATTGGGACTCCCTAGAACCTAACGATGCATGGATTCTGTTTTTGTTGTTGTTGACAGATTTTTAAAGATGTCGTACTTTATTCCATGTAAGAAGACAATAGATGCTAGCAACATTACCAAATTTTTTTCGGGAGATAGTTCGCCTTCATGGAGTACCAAAATCTATCACATCTGACCGCGATTCCAAGTTCTTATCCCACTTTTGGAGGACCTTGTGGCAGTGCTTTAATTATTCACTTAAATTCAGTACTGCTTACCACGCTCAAACGAACGGACAAATTGAAGTGGTAAATCACACTCTCAGTAACCTTCTTAGATCCATCTCTGGCGATCGTACGAAACAGTGGGATCTTGCTCTGGCACATACTGAATTTGTTTTTAACTGTATGGAGAGTCCAACTATAGTCAAGGCTCCCTTTGTGATTGTATATGGAAGGCTTCTGAATCATTATCTTGATTTAGTTTTACTGCCTAAGCTTCCAGGACAGAGTATTCCTGCAGATTATATGGCCGAAAAGATATGTGATGTCCAACAAGAAGTGAAGGAGAAGATAGAGAAGTCTAATGCTAAATATAAGGCCGACACTGACCGACACAAGAGGAAGAAGGTGTTTGAAGAGGGAGACATGGTGATGATGTTTCTGCGAAAAGAGCGTTTTTCAGTGGGCACCTACAACAAGCAGAAGAATAAAAATATGGTCCATGCAAAATACCGAAGAAGATTAGCGACAATGCTTATGTCGTTGACCTTCCTACGGATTTGGCTATTTCTCCTAGCTTAAATGTTGCGGATATGTTTGAGTATTACCCGCCAGAAGAAACAACTCTTCATGCAAGTATAAGATCAGGGTCGAGCTCTTTCAAACAAGGGGACAGATGTAGAACGCACGGCGAAAATGTTTATGTGGAAGCGGGACAGACACAAGCCTAAACGCGGACCCAGTCGAGAAAAATAACTTACCGCGAAGAACGGGTCATATCAGCATATGTTTATGTGGACGAATTATATATGAAAATCACGTATTTTTTCAAAATGGGGCCAACCAAACCCACTAAAGTTTGTTTTGCCACCATCCGTTTCGCCAAATTCCATCTGGATTGAGAGATATCAGCGTTTTTGTCAGTTTTTTTACTATATTTGGTAATGTTTTAGCAGTCTGTTTTGATTAGGAAGCAAATCCAATTTGATCCCAAATTTGACCGATTTACTTTACTAATCTTAAGGAGTCTTTTAAGGAAGAGTTTTGTTATTTCTATTTTTGGTAAAATTTGTGTTACAGTAGGAGTCATTTTTTTCTATTTAAGCAGAGTATTGTAAGCCCTAGAGAAATATCTTTTCATCAATAAAATTTCTCTTTCAATATTTTCTTTGTGGATTCGAAGTTCTTTATGGATTCGAAGTTCTTCGTGGATTCGGAGATCGTTCTTTGTGGATTCAAAGAACACCCTTGGTGGATTTCGAGGTTTTACTTCCGCGTTGCGTCACATGTACGAAGCGAGGTGTTCCGAACAATTAAATTGTTCTTAATTCTAACTCATGAATATAGGCAGTTAAAATAGAGCCAATTATTTTAATCGCAAAACACAATTGTCTCTAATGATTAGCATGTCAAGATGAATGTATTTATTCTGATTAGTATGGGCTTGGCTCTATAAACATATCCTTTTTGAGGTTAATTGCATAGAACCATGTAGTAACCGTTATGTACCCTTGAAATCGTAATAACTAACTTTTTTTCCTCCCACCTTAATTCTAAGATTTGATCGTCTTAAGTTTAGACCGAAAGTCTCCTACTGAGATAAATAACTTCAACAGCACAACCAGAACATTTTGCTACATCTCTTCCTCAATATCCAACACGAAGCTCATATCGCCATTCAAAATTGGAACTGCATAGATGTAACGCCCCGCCCCGGAATTCCGGAGTCGGTACGCTATTAGATCTGATGGACTGGCCTCACAAACCACCACATATATTTTCAGCACGTTTTGTCCTCACTCACATGCTCCCTGGAAAACTTCCCAGGGGGTCACCCATCCTAGAATTTGTCCAGACTAAGCACGCTTAACTTTGGAGTTTCTAAGAATTGGGTTCCCGAAAAAAAAATGCATCTTGGTGATATGAGTATTCTAATCAAATCTATCAATACTAATCACATCACCCTCATCACCCTCTCAAGGGTTGGGGTTGGGGTATTACAATAGAACTACTAGAAACAAACATTTATCAAATGTAGCATTTTATAACATGCTGAGGGTCTTACAGCCATTTCAAAGGAACAAAGGACAACAAGACAAAGGTATACAAGTCAATTTCGATGTATGACTGTTATCATACTCTTTACAAGCTCCCAGTGACCATCCCTGAGATCGACCTGAGCCTATAAAAGAGCACAGGCAATCACAATAAAAGCATTCAGGCGACACGACACTACGCAAATTCAGCTTGTTGCCATGGAGAAGCGTTTTGCTGACGAGGTAGAGAGCTGATGAAGAGAGAGATTGAGCAAACTTGGAAGTAATTCTCAAGGGCTCGAATTATTTGGGCACAGGCCCAAGAAGACATGGACAGCGTGGAGAGGATGAAGACAGCGGCCTCGAGAAATGTTAGCTCCACCTGCATTGAGATTACCTGCCAGGCTTGCTGACAATAAATTCCAACAATAAGGGGAAAATCATATCGAGGGTCTATAATATCATATAGAAAGGTAAAAGAGATGATGGCACCTGACATATCACGAATCTTGATGCACATAATACTAATATCTATTAGTGCAGTTGTAATTACATTGGTAGTGATTGCATTTATAGATAGGCATTTTCACTGATATGTCAAATGTCACCCTCTCCTTCCTCCCTATGTGACATTCTACAAAGGGCCTCCATCGAATTTCCCCCCCCCCAGACAATAGCAGTAGGCTAGAATTCAGAGTTGGGTCACCAGTTCCTCCAGTGAAACAAATACTACTCTCTTCAGCAAAACTCACCATGGGTGAATCTATAGAAAACTTTGGTGCGTCTAATTGACCTGTCTGATATTGATATTAATCCTTGAATTTGCAACGTAATCCCTGAAACAGGAGTCTTCTCCGCCTGAGAATTGTGAGAAGAGGGTAGAAACTTCTGCATGTTCTTTGTCTGTAAAAATTCGAGGTATTCCTGCAAAATATAAGAACAGATCAAATGTTAAAATTTGCAAAACTTAAAGGAGAGAAACTAATAGATAAGAATCATGGAGTAGGAGACGAGAAAAAAGTGTGATAGCTGAAATAAAAGCAATAGGGGCAGTTATTGTTATTGTAATAGATTTAACAGTTCTTACATCAGAGAATGATTTGTTTAGTGACCTCTCTATAAGACACTTCTTTATTTTCATAATCCAAATCTTTTAAAAATGAGATTGCATAGGACCACAAATTCATGAAACTTCAGTGAGAGTAACTTGTCTGAGAAGCGTATGTAGGGGAGATGTCATTTAAAGTTATTCCAATCATAGATTGGTCATATACTGTAAAGTCCACAGATCACAGATAAATGAGTAAACACTAGAAACCCTTTGATTAGTCAATAATGCACTTACAGTGTTCCTTAAACTCGACTCTTGAATCACAGTTGGAAAGTAACAACTAATGCAGAAAAAAACACCAATCGTAATGCGTTATAACGCGTTGTATAATTACATGAGGATTTTGTTACGGAACCTAGCCAGAAAACAAACAGTTCCTTAACAGTGCGTTTTCAAGTGGAAAAAGCACCGAGTTACATAACGCATTACATAACTGTGCGTTTTATTGGGTTAGATTGTATTATTATCTGAACCGTTGGATTTTTAGTGGGATGAAATCCAACTGTTCATCTCAATGAAAATCCCTCCCTCACTTCAGAAAAGGTCACGACTCTTCGCCTCCCCTAATCTCTCCCAATCAAGAATCAAAACCCTTAAATTCTCTATGCTCGCTGGCGCTACTACTTAGTCGTCACTGGCACTGCTACTTTGAATTCTCTGTGACTCCAAAGCCCTCCAACTCCAAATCCATTCTCCAAATCCAAGCCCTCGAAAATCCTAATCAACGAGCCAACCGTTCGCCAACTCCAAGACCTTGAAACCCTAATTGACAACGACAACCTCTTCGACAATGAAGGAGACCTCTTCAAAGTCTAAGACTACCTCTTTGACAATGTCAATTCTTTGAAGACTGAGCTCGGCATTTGAAGACTGAAATCGCAACGCTGGAGAAGCTGGACTGATTCAGTTCATCACCAACCAGCTTCTCGATAATGAAAGGGGGGTCCGACGATGAAGGTGAGGTGCTACGCCGCTGGCTGAGGTAACAGTCAGTTTCCTTCAATTTTTTTAAAATTTCAGTTATTTTCATGATTTTGAGGGCTGTTTTGTTAATGCTTGGGGTTTTGAGGACTACTACTTTTAAGTGTTGTGTTTTAATGATGGTTACTGTTAGTTATCATCTTCTTTTAGGACTATTATTGTTAGATTGAATTAACTTCATGATTTATGAAATTATTCTGAAACTGTAAATAAGTACTTGATTTCTATTGAATAAATGATCAGTTAGATATTGAATTAATAGTTACTGTTTGCCAATTCATAAATAGTGTGTTTTTCATTTGTTAGTTTGTTTGGATGTGCAAAGCCATAGGATATTGAACAATGCCTAAAAATTTTAGATCTTGCGAAAGCATGGTATTTCGAAGGAGGGTGAACCTCCAACAAATGTCTATTGCAAGTATTGCAATCATAAAATCACACCAAGTGTAGCATGTTTAAAATATCTTTTAGCCAGAACTAGAAAAGGGTAAGATTTTTGGAGCAAGTAAAAAAATTTCATGCGGATACACTGAAGGAAATTGAGTCAAGAAAAGAGAGGAGGGCCAAAATGGTTAGGTTGACTGGGAGGATGGAAGATCCAAATGAGGAGATTGAGCCTAAATGCATAGATTAGAGTCAGGAGCAGCAGACAGGCCCAACAGCCTTCAACATTTGGTCCAATGAACCAATTTGTCAATATCTAGGATCATCAGATAATGATAGGATAAACTCAAAAAGAAGAAAGAAAGAAGATTGTTAGAATTAAGTATTGGGTTATCGGGTATGACCGGTTGCGTCAACTCGAGTTCTCTCAGAATAGTTATTCTGCTACTCATGCATCCTCTTCAGGTATGGATGCCTACATTGTCTCTCCTCACAGGCCATGTGTATTAGATTCTGGTGCCTCTTCTCATATGACAGGTATAAATGATCACTTTGTTTCTTTAAACCTTTCTGATAAGTTTCCAACGGTCTGCATTGCTGATGGTACATACTCTCCAGTTCTTGGTGATGGAGAGTAGTCCATGTTACTTCATCATTGACCCTTACTGACGTCTTATATCTTCCAAAATTTCCTGTTAGTTTACTGTCCATCAGTCAGTTCACCAAACACAACAATTGTAAAGTAACATTCTTTCCTTCTTATTGTGTTTTTCAGGACCTAACAACTAGGATGACGATTGGTTCGGGGCATGAGAGAATAGGCATGTACTATTTGGACGATAATATGCCCGCTACTGGTCTTGTTGCAGAAAAATCTGATCATTCTTTACTATGGCATCAACGCATTGTTCATCCCTCGTTATCGAAGCTTAGATCTATCATTTCTATCCAATATTCTGTTTCTTCTTTAGGCTGTGAATCTTGTGAATTGGGCAAGCACCGTTGTTTGGTGGAAAATTTGTAGTAAATAAAATGAAAGAAATTTGATTTGTATTCTCTCGATCTTAATTACAAATTTGAATTCCGATTACAAAAGAGAGGTGAATTGATCTGAATTCTTCCCTTTGTTTAAGTCTGAGTTCTTCACGATAGCGATGAGATACCTCCCTCGAATGCTCGCGTCGAGTTTGCTTCTCGTTGACGATCCGAATGTCTTATTTCACTGGAACGGTATCTTCTCCTCACGATTTGACGTTGTGGAGGACTTGCGTGGCAAGTTTAAAACTCTAAACGAGTTAATAACTCAGAACGAGTTTAAACTCTTGTAAAAGAATTGATTGATCTTAACCGTAATTGGTTAGACAAACCAAGCACGAAGATAGCCCTAAGAATCTGTTACCGAGAAGATGATCCGAAGAAACCGATCTCTAGATCTCCAAAATTCTCAAAAATCCAAAGATATCCCCCTTCTCTTCTCCAGCCTCAGGATCTCTTCTTTGCGGCCGAGGAGAAGAATCCGAACTAAGCTGATTTCTTAGTTATTTATAAGGGATTAATGGGTGTAACTGCCTTCTTAATTCGCTCCTAAGTGGGACTTATGCGATGTAACCGCTCCTTAAATCACTCCTGAGTGGAGTTGTGATACCCTCAGATCGTGGGAAACGGTTTTAAACCGTTCAGTTCGTGTTTGAACGAGTCAAACGCAAAATCCGTGTTCTGGCGTGAATTCTGCGTTCAAACGCAGTGTCTAGAAGCTTGAACACAGCGTCTGAAAGCTCATTTGCAGCAATTGGAAGCTGCGTTTACAGCGATTTGGAAGCTGCGTTGGCAACTTTCGGAGGCTGCGTTTGCGGTCGAATATGAGCTGCGTTGGCAGCTGGATCTGAGCTGCGTTTGCAGCGTTTGGAGCTGAATGTGAGTTGCGTTTGCACTGCATCAGCGGCTGTGAACATGGTACGTCTTGATGCTGGTACGCGGGGAGGACTTCCGCGTCTTGATTTGAAGAGACCGTCGATTTATAGTCTCTTTCTGTCAAAGCGTTGCAAAGATCGTCATTTTATAATCTTTGTTTTAGCTCTTTGATATGTGAGAGTCGTCAGATTATAACTCCCGATGTTAATTGTGAAGGCTGTTAATTAGAGCTTTCATCAGTTGTTATGAAGATCGTCAGATTGTAACATTCATCGATGAAAGTCTTTAAATTATAGCCTTCTGGAAACCGTCAAATTATAACTTTTATCATTGGTGTTTGATGGGGATTAGCTATCTACAGTGATTTTTAGATAGCCTACAACCATCGTGCCACTTATCCGAGTCGTATTGATAAACGTAGTAGTTCTGCGTTTGAGTTAGTCCATTCTGATGTTTGGGATCCTTGTCGTATACCTTCAGTGAAAGTTACAGATATTTCCTTATCTTTGTTAATGACTTCTCTCGCATGACTTGATTTTATCTATTAAAAGAGAGATTTGAGGTTTCGACTGTTCTTGAAATATTTTACAAAAAAATCAAAAACCAATTTTCCACCTCTATTCGTATCCTTCGTACCGATAATGCGTTAGAATACATGAAAAATGACATATCTCGTTTTTGTGCAAATATTAGTATTATCCATCAAACTTCATGTTCTCACACTTCACAATAAAATAGAGTTGCTAAGAGGAAGCATAGACACATTTTAGATGTTGCTAGAACCCTGATGATATATATGCATGTTTCAAATTATTTGTGGTCTGATGCTGTTCTCAGTGCATGTTTTCTGATCAATAGGATGCCCTCTCATGTTCTTAATGGTACAATACCGTTCACCTATCTTTATCCTGACAAAAAGCCTTTTCTTATGGTTCCTCATGTTTTTGCTTGTACTTGTTTTGTTCAGGATTTGTCTCCAGGACTGGATAAAATATCTCCACGGTCTATTAAGTGTGTCTTTGTAGGCTACTCAGGTACTTAAAAAGGTTATCGGTGTTATAACCCATCAACCAGGAGATATTTTGTGTTTGCAGATGTAACTTTTTTTAAGTATGTTCCATACTTCTCCTCGGTTGGTTTATCTCCACCTGTCAATCCATCTATGCCTATTCCGTCTATTGCTCCTATTACTGTTCTATTACCTACTTCCGTTCCTTCTGTTAATGGATCTTCTCCAGGACTACAAAATGCCTCCACTGTGTCATTTGCACCACCGCCACTACTGACGTATTGTCGCTGTCCAAAAGTTCCTATCCCTCTCTCTGCTCCAGCCGAACAGTCATCTCCCGTTATAGGTCTATCTCCTAATATTTTTATTTCCTCTGATCTGGACATTCTAATTGCTCATCGGAAAGGTAAACAGTCTTGTACTAATCATCCTATATCTGATTTTGTTTCTTATGACCGTCTTACTCCCTCTTCTTGTCAGTTTGCTTTATCCTTGTCCTCTATATCTCTACCCAGGTCTTATGAGGAG